TTTTTTAAATTTCAGTTTTTTTTTTTTTTTTTTTTTTTTTGAGGAAATACTTTCTATGTAGAGAAAAGTACTGAGTGTAGTATGATAGTCACATACCATCCACCAGGATTAATAGCTAACATTTTGCCAGATTCACATATCCTTTTTAAAACTTTTTAACTTTGAAATCATTTCAGAATTACAGAAAAGCTGCAAAAATAGTACAGAGTACTCATCTATCCTTTGCCCTGATTTTCCAGTTATCAATATTTTACCATAATTATTTTATCATTCTTTGTCTTTATATATACATGTTGGTTTATTTCCTAAGCCAGCTGAGAGTGAGTTGCAAACTTGATTCCCCTTTTCTCTTAAGTACTTCACTGTATATTTCCTAAAATCAAGGATATTCTTTTATGTAATCTTAGTACAATTATTAATCAGGAAATTAACGTTGATACAATACTGCTATCTAAGCTACAGACCTTAATCAGATTTTATGAATTATCTCAATAATGTCTTTCATAATTCAAGGTTGAATCTAGGATCACATATTGCAGTTAGTTGTCATGCCTCTTAGGCCCCTTTAATTTGGAACAGTTTGTCAGTCTTTGTCATTGATGACATTGACATTTTTGAAAAATACAGGCCAGTTATCTTGTAAAATGTTCTTTAATTTAAGTTTGTGTGGTGTCTCCTCATTATTAGATTTAGGTTAAGCATTTTGGGCAGGAAACCCTCAGATGACATATCCTTGTCCGCACATTATATCTAGAGGCACGCAATGCTGACTTGTTTCATTACTAGTGAGGTTAACCAGTATCATTTGGTTAAGGTGGCGTTTGCCAGGTTTCTCCTAAAGTACTATTTCTCCCTTTGTAATTAATATGTATCTTATGGGAAGATACTTTGAGATTATGTTATTATCCTTTTTCTCATAAATCTCTTACCTATTAGTTTTAACATCCATTGTTAACTCTTTCCCAAAGTAATTATTACTGTCATGGTTACCAGAGTGATTTCCCAACTCCTTCTGCTTTATTAGTTGGCATTCTACTGCCATCTAATAAAGCAGATCGTTTCCTCCCTCCCCAATTGTTTATTCATTTATTTATTCATTTATAGCAGTACTGACTCAGGGATTCTTATTTTATTCAGTGGTTACATTCTGTCACTGTCATTATTTTTTTTTTGAAGCTTGATTTGTCCCATACTTGGCCTGTGAGAGCCGCTTCACAGAGGGGGTTTGTGGAAGTTTTTGTCATGTCTGATACTTTTTTTAAAAAAAATAAAATATTATAAATCCAGCTAAAGCCCCACCCCACTGCGACCCTTTCCCCTTTTTTCCCTTTCCAGAAGTTATCACAGCCCTATAGTTGATGCATGTCATTCCCAGATGCTTTTATGTTTTTACTAAGTGTTATTCATAAGTATTTATGTATATATAGATTTATTTTGTTTATATCTTTAAAATTTACATACATTGAATCATGAGATAGCTATCTTTTCTCAACTTGCTTTCTTCATTTGCATTTTTTTGAAATTTTTGTTTTCGAGATTTTTATCTATGTCTGCACATGAAGTTCTATATATGTAGAGTAGGGGTTGGCAAACCACAGCCCACAGGGCTGAGGGGAACACAGCTTTACCCATTTATTTATATGTTGCCCATGGCATGTTTACATGCTTTCATGCTATGGTGGCAGTTGAGTTGTTGTGACGGAGACCATATAGCCCACAATGTTTACTGTTTGACCCTTTACAAAAAAAGAATGCCAATCCCTGGGGTGTCGAGTATTCTTTTGTGTGAATAAACCACAGTTTATCTGTTTTTCTAGCAATATAGAGTTAGAGTTATTTTTTTCTGTGTTATGGTGCTGCCAAGAGCATCCTCACATGTCTTGTGCACATGTGCAACTGTCTTTAGGGTAGGCACTGTGAAGGGCAATTGCTGAGGTGTGGAGACAAGTTTGAAAATGCAATAATTTTAGATTTTTGAGATGATTTTGGTGAAGTAAAGATGTGTTTAGTTTGTTCCTGCTAAACAAGAGTTGATCACACAAGCCTTTGTATTTCTAGACTGACACTGTCCAGCTTTCTGCAATGAGGGAAGTGTTCCTTATTTGCACCGTCCCATGTGGTTAACATGACAAGAAGCAGGTCTTCTGGCAACATTATATATGCGTAAAATAAAGTGGTGACTGTGAGCTCCTAAGCACAATGTGACCGTTATTTACCAATTTGACTGCACTTGTTCCTCACTGGCAGACAGACCATGGCAGGCACCAAAAGCTCAAGGAAAATTTAAATCAAAAACTGAGAAATATATGTTCACCTAATTCTTTTTGGCACTGTGAGGAAAGTCATGATGTTTAAACTATAGCTATGGAAACCCTGTGTCATAGACCAGTGCACATGTGCTCTTGGGTGAAAACTGTTGGGTTTTACCTCTTTACACTCCATCTGGGAAGGCAGTGCCCCCTACCACCGCTTGGTTGCCTGCGTGTGTGTGTGTGTGTACGTACCTGTGTGTGTGTCTCCTGCTCTGAATAAAGGTATGTTTGTTCTGTGGCTCCACAGGAGGACACTGGCCACCGGCTCTTCTGCCTACATGTGGAAACCCCCCAGCCGAAGCTCCAGCATGAGCAGTTTGGTGAGCAACTACCTGCAGGTAATGCCAGGAAGGCTGGGAACTTCCTTCCTGTAGTGCCGGTGAGAGTATGTCCTTGCCCCCAGCAACTCAAGGGCGATGTCTCAGACACCTGCTGTTCCAATCAGAGCAATATAAACTCTCAGTTATATCCTCAGTTTCCTGAAGTACAGGATTTTACAACCAAATAGAATTTAGACCCTTTTAAAATCAAGTAATTTTAAAAGATTTGAAAGTATTTTAAAAGAAGCAGTTTAGCACTATGGTTAAAAGCAGCAGAGTCAAATCCCAGGTCTGTCACCTACCAGCTGTGTGACCATGGGGAAATTACTAAACCTCTGGGAGATGAGCTCTCATCCATAAGATGGGCGTAATAAAAATCACTCTAGCTCATAAATGAGGGAGTACTTAAGAGCAAGGGCTCAGTAAGTATTAGTAGGTAGGAGTAGTTTTTTTTTTTAGAAATGTGAATTATCACAGCTGTATATAGTTTTGCAGAAATTGATCAGCAATAAAAAAATTAAAATGATTAATATAAGGAGCATTAAGAGTAGAAAATAAACTAATCTTTACTCTATTTTGTGGTTTAAATATAACTGAATTTATCTAAGAGCCAGCATGTATTAAGTTAGTAAAGTTGAAGGAGGCGGGATGGGAAACTCGTGTCTGTGTCTCAGTGGAGTTCACATGTGTGGCTGCATGGCTTTGGAATGGGGTGCTCACCTCCTTGTGGCAAATGTTTTGAAAAAAAGGGACTCTAGTCCTTTGAATAGCTCTTTAGACTAACCTTAGGTCTAGTAATTCCTGTATTTTTACTTCTCTCATTAAGCTCTGCAGCTTTTGCAAGTAGCCATGTAGCTTCATCTCAAAGCCACTTGTCTTTTGTGTCACTCCTCCCCAGACTCAAGAGATGGCCTCCAGCTTCGACCTGAACAGTCCCCTAAACAATGAGGCATTGGAGGGCTTTGATGAGATGCGGCTGGAGCTGGACCAGTTGGAGGTGCGGGAGAAGCAGCTACAGGAGCGCCTGCAGCAGCTGGATGGAGAGAACCAGGAGCTGAGGGCAGCTATCAGCTCTCAGGGGGAGCAGCTAAAGATGGAGAGGGAGAGGGGGCGCACTGCAGCAGAAGACAACATTCGCCTCACTCGCATGGTGGCTGAACTCCAGAAACACTGGGAGGTCACCCAAGCCACCCAGAACACTATGAAGGAGCTGCAGATGTACCTGCAGGCCCTGGAGTTGGGTGCAGCAGAAAAGGAGGAAGACTGCCACTCAGCCCTGCAACGGCTGGAGTCCATGCTGCAACCTTTGGTGCAGGAGCTTGAGGCTGCACAGGACTCACTGAGCAGGAAGAACCAGCATTTTGCCAGTGTCCGAGACTGGCTGGCCACAGCTGAGCAGAAGGCAGATACAGCACTGGGCACAGAGGGGCAGCAAGAGCCCATTACTGGTGACTCAGCCCTGGAGATTCAGAGGCTGGAGGAGAAGCTTCGAGCACTAGAAGGGGAGAGCTCCAAGGTCCAGGAGCTCAACAAGCAACAGACCACCCAATTGGAGCAGCTGGCCAAGCAGCTGCAGCTGAAGGAGGAGGCCCGTGCCAGCCTGGAGCGGATGGTGGAAGAGATGGCCCCACTCCGGGAAGAGCTGTCCGGGAAGGGAAAGGAGGCAGCCCAGCTCCAGCGACAGCTTCAGGAGTCACTGGCACACTTGAGCTCCCTGGAGGAGGAGCTGGCAGAGGTTAGACGGGAGGAACAGCGGCAGCAGGAGGAGAAGGAGCTGCTGGAGCAAGAGGCCAGGTCTCTGACCCGGCAGCTGCAGCTCCTGGAGACCCAGCTGGCCCAGGTGAGCCAGCATGTGAGTGACCTGGAGGAGCAGAAGAAGCAGCTCATCCAGGACAAAGACCACCTCAGCCAGAAGGTGGGGACACTAGAGCGGCTTGCTGAGCAGCCAGGCCCAGAGCTGCCCTTGATGGGTGATAAGAGCAAGGCTCTGGCCCTCCTGAACTCCACCCTGCAACAAGCCTGCAAGATGCCAGAGGAGGGGCAGAGGGGCCTTCCAGAGGTAGAGATGGACGATACCAAGGTGCAAGGGGGTGACCAGGAGGAGAAGCTTCAACAGGCCAACAGGGAGCTAGAGAAGGAACTGCAGAATGTGACTGGGCGCAACCAGCTCCTAGAGGGCAAGCTGCAGACCCTGCAGGCTGATTACCAGGCTCTGCAGCAGCGGGAGGCAGCCATCCAGGGCTCCCTGGCCTCCCTGGAGGCTGAGCAGGCCAGCATCCGGTGCTTGGGTGACCAGATGGAGGCGAGCCTCCTGGCTGTAAGGAAGGCCAAGGAGGCCATGAGAGCCCAGGTGGCAGAGAAGGAGGTTGCCCTGCAGAGCAAGGAGGGTGAGTGCCAGCAGTTGCGAGAGGAGGCGGAGCAGTGCCGGCAGCTAGTAGAGGCCCGGGACCAGGAGCTCAGGGTTCTTGAGAGCCAATGCCACCAGCAGACCCAGCTGATTGAGGCCCTCACAGCAGAAAAAGGCCAGCAGGTGCTCGGCCCACCCCCAGATGGTGCAGCCCATGAGCTAGCGGCCCAGCTGGCCCTGTCTCAGCCACAGCTGGAAGTCCATCAGGGGGAGACCCAGCGGCTGCAGGCTGAGGTGGTAGACCTCCAGGCCAAGCTCCAGGCAGCACTGGATGACCGGGACAAGGTACAGAGCCACCTGAGTGTGGCCGAGGCAGTCCTGAGGGAGCACAAGACCCTTGTGCAGCAGCTGAAAGAGCAGAACGAAGCCCTCAACAGGGCCCACGTCCAGGAGCTGCTGCAGTGCTCAGAGCGTGAAGGGGCGCTTCAAGAGAAGAGGGCCAGTGAGGCCCAGCAAAGGGAGGAGGAGCTGCGGGCCCTGCGGGAAGAGCTGTCACAGGAGAAATGCAGCTCCCAGGATGCCCAGCTGGAGCATGTGGAGCTGCAGGAGCAGCTGCACCAGGCCAACACGGATACTGCTGAGCTTGGCATCCAAGTCTGTGCACTGACTGCAGAGAAGGCACGGGTGGAAGGGGCGCTGGCCTGTGCTGCCCAGGAACTTCGGGACTCCAAAGAGGCAGCCTCAAGGGAGCGAGAGGGCCTGGAGTGCCAAGTGGCAGGGCTGCAGCAAGAAAAGGAGATCCTGCAGGAGAAGCTGAAGGCAGCTGAGGAGGCAGCCAACTCACTACCTGGCTTGCAGGCCCAGCTGGCCCAGGCTGAGCAGCAGGTCCAGAGCCTCCAGGAGACTGCACACCAGGAGCTCGACACCCTCAAGTTCCAGCTAAGTGCTGAGATCATGGACTACCAGAACAAACTTAAGGTAATGCTAGCTGCGACCATCCAGGCTCTCTCCATCTCCCTGGGGCAGGCCTGGTGGGTCCATGAGAGGAAACCTCTGCAGCTGTAAAACAGGGCAGACCAGAGAATGTACTGGGGGTGGGGAAGCGCAGGCAAACACTCCATGGTCCTGTCCTGCTGTCATAGCTTGCAGTAGCATCTTTCTCTCTGCAGGAACATGTCAGGTATAGAACACCCGGGAATGATACCTTAGCCCAGAATTCCAAATTCAAGGCCATTGCAGACAAGGTTGGCACACACAGAATTTTTTTAAAATTAGTAGCCAACATTTACAGAGCAGAATATTTACAAATTCAGTTTGCAGCTTCTTTTGAAATCTCAGAAAATCTGAAAGCCTGTGTCCTCATCTCCATGTGACAACAGTCAGCAGGAGCTCAGTGATGGCTGCCCATTTTAAAGGAGGCACACATCCTCTGGTTTTCTCCCTACACTCTTTTGTGTACCTGTCCAGCCTCTGTGGGCATGTGAGTCTGCCTTAGCCTCTAGAACCTACTGCAGAGTGGCAGCCTCAAGTCCTGTCTCTGGGTTCTTAGACAGTGGATAAGCCACCCCTCAGGTGCCATCCTGATAGCAGATACAGTATAGGGAACTGACTCAATTAGTTTTTACAAGGCCCTTGGGACAGACAAGCTTATGAGATCAGCACAGTTATCATGTGCCTTTGATAGTGCACAAAGACGAGGGGTCAAGAGTGAGGACACAAGCAGGACAGGCACCGGGACTTGATTTTCAGTGTTGATCACTAGTCTGTCTGCATCAAGGTCAGTGCCCTTTCAGGCCACTCCTGACCCTCCACAGTTAGGCAACTCCACTGCAATGTGCCTCCCCACCCTGTTATGCTCCATGTGATCCTTAGGCCACTTTTTTCCTTAGAGAAATTAAATTCTGAGTTAGGGGACCATGCTAAGTCTCTTTCTTAGTAAGCTTGAAAGTATTTTGTTACCTACAAAGCTCAAAGCTTATTGAGATGCTAGTTTGGGGACAAAAGAGAGGTAGCTTGTTTTTCCCCATTTGGGTGATGGGGCTGAAGGAATCTCAGAGCAAGGATGCCACTTTTATGATGTCTTTCTCGTTCTTTTCAGACCACCAGTGAAGAGTGCAGGAGCCTCAGAGGCCAGCTGGAGGAGCAAGGCCGGCAGCTGCAGGCCGCCAAGGAGGCTGTGGGGAATCTGAAGGTAGGCCCCAGCCAGTGTGGGGACCTGTCAGGGAGAGGGGATCTGGTTTGGTTTTTACTGGACCATTTGAGGAGGGCTCCCTGCAAGATTCCAGTTCCTAAGCTGAAGCTGTCATCAGTTTACCTGTGTAGATAGCCTGAATCTACACCTTCTACTCTCTGGACACCTAGCTGGAGCTACCAAGTGTAGGAAAGAGAGGAAGTTGTCTTCTTGGTTGTCTCTGTAGACATCCTCTAGCCAGTGATTCTAAACTGAGCAGGTTTCAGGGTCAGCGCTGGCCCCGCTGTCTTCAGAGCACTGTTTAAGTGAACCCTGCTTCCCGCCACCCCTCCCTCCAGTGCCACCCTGGGGATTCTGATAGTTGCTGCTCCTTCAGCCACCACAACCAGTTGCAGTTGAGGCTCACAGGGCAGAGGCTCTTGGCCTCTTGAACTTAAAAAATAAAAATTAAAAAATAAGAAACAGAAAACAACTTAGCCAGATGGGGATGGATAGTACACCAGTCACGTTATGGCATCTTGCACGGGCTCCTGCAAGTTGAGTGTCTTCTCTCGATGTCCTGCACCAGGCCACCCAAACAGACATGGAAGAGAAGCTGAGCTTCACCAGCAACCATCTTACAGAGTGCCAGGCTGCCCTGCTGAAGAAGGAGAAGGAGGGGACCATCCTGCGTGAAAACCTGGAGAGGTTAGTCCTGCAGTCTACCACGTGGCCAGTAGTTGTCTTCAATGAAGAGGGTTTTGTGCAGTCATCGAGAAAGTCAGTCATTCACATTAGGTTTAGGAAGTCCTTTTGCAAGAAAAACCACAAACTCAGAAGTGCTTGTGCCAGAAGTGTGCCACAAAGAACCTGGCTGTCTGCCTATCACAGCCTATAGATGGATAAAGCACCTTTCTCTTAATTTGGTTTTCTTATCTTGGCAGGGCATGCTTCAGTAACTCCATGCTTTGGAAAAACTAAAATGAAATTAAAAGGGCATAATAATAATGAGTAATAATAACAGCAAACATTTAAATAATGCTTAAAATGTGGCAGGCACTGTTTTAAATATTTTGCATATCTTTACCCATTTAATCCTCTCTCCCATTTAATCCTATGAGTAAAGTATTATTATTTATGCCCATTTTATAAATGAGGAGAATAAACGTGCCAAGGAGCAGGATCAGCAGACTCTCTGGTGCCCTGTCTGTGGAGAGCAGATCATGCTGTCACCCCGTTCATCATGGATTTTTTAGCCTTAAAGTATGGGCCCTACAGTGCTGGCCTGTGGCCAGCCCCAAGACCTCCCTGAGCCTCCTCATCTTCAGGCTTGGGGCCATATGGAGTTGTGAGCCTGAGCCCTCAGCTCATCTAGCCAGGGCCTGATTAAAACACGTTTGGCAGGGAGGAGGGGTTGCTGGAATCAAGTTGCACATATGCCACCAGCAAAGACAGGTACATCAAATTTTCCCAAGTCTTTAACTTTTCTGCTTATCCCTCATCTCTTCCATGCTTGCCTTCTAGGCCTGGGCCCAGGCTCAATGGGAGATCCAGAGTATGTTTGAGGATGTACATTTCTTCTCATCTGACCCTTCCAGTGTTTGAATCCTGTAGGCCCCTGGCCAACCTTAGCCAGGTCATGTTTACATGAGAGCATAAACAGAGAGAACCAAGTTGGTGGTATTAAAAAAAAATGCTATAATGTGATTATTTGTAAGATCTCAGAGCATTTGTTTTAGTTGCTCAAAGTTGCACAATCCATCCACTCAGGGTTAAATTTTATTTTATTCTCTCTCTCTCTCTCTGTGCGTGTGTGTGTGCATTCGCGCCTATGAGATCATTTCGATGGTTGGGGTCTGGTAAACAGTCTCCTGACAACTTTATACTAGACATGGAAGGGCTGGATTAGGTACAGATTAATCTGACTCTCTGCAGAGCTCTCTGTTTAATGGAGCATTTATGATGTCTTGCTGGGCCTTGGGGTTTATAGAGCACCTTGGACAACACTGCCGTAGGGGATAACTGAGCTGAAAGTGGAGTGAACGAGGTCAGAAGACAACATGGTTTGGCCAGCCACTTCTGCCATAGATTGAGACACTCCACAGCACTGAAAACATTCCCTTGGGCTTCAGGGGTCTATCAGATAGAATAACTCACAGTACAAATTATCTGCTGTGGGCCCAGCACCATGCCATGGGTGTAGAGTCCCAAAGACCCATGGAAGACAGGTCCTCCTCTGTGCATTCACCTTCAGGAAACTATGCCTGTCCTTCCTTTCCTGACTCTGTTTTCCTCCAGCTCATTCTCCTCACCACCAGCTCTTTGGGCTCCTCTCACATCCTCAGTCCCTATCCAAGAACGAAGGGGTGCAGCGTTTGACTCACCTGGGGTGCTTCTAGGAACCTGGGGTCAACCTGTCCTCCCAGAACACCCCTTTGTATTTGAAGGGGTGTGAGGACAATCTCGAAGCCTAGGAGAATGCATAACTTGCAAGCAGATAGTGCTGAGGGGCTTCCCCAAAGGCTGGGGGGCAATGGGATCCCTTATGAGAGGCCTGGGTTGGCCTAGAAGCACCAGGAAGCTAGAGGTCATGGCTAATCAAGAAAACGCTCCTTTCCCAGGACCCAGAAGGAACTTGAAAAAGCCACAACAAAAATCCAAGAGTATTACAACAAACTCTGCCAGGAGGTGACAAACCGGGAGAAGAATGATCAGAAGATGCTCGCTGACCTGGATGACCTGAACAGAACCAAGAAGTACCTTGAGGAACGGCTGATAGAGCTGCTGAGGTGAGTGTCAGGCCAAACAGGCAGCTGGGGGCTTCCCCCGATGCTTGGTTTTTCTTTAAAGAAATGCACTGTTCTTTTTTTTTTTTTTTTTTTTCCTTTTTGTCTTTTTTCATGTCCGGCAACGGACCGCAACCCTCAGTGTTGCGCCCGGACCGGACCGGGACCGGC